AAGATCTGATGAAAGTGATGAAAGAGGGGACATTAGATGCCAAACAACAGTTAAATGAAGTTGCACAAACTTCAGAACTGACTTTATTGGGCATGACACCAGGTAACATAGATGGTATAAAGAGTCATCCAGTGACCTATGCAGCTTCCAAAATTAAAAAGCATTATGTTAAAAATCTCAAGAAAGCAGAGATACTGAAACAAGAGAAACTTATTGGGGAAATATGGGAAATGACAAAAATGGATATCCTGTCAGATGGGCTGAACAAATGTTCAATTGAAAAGAAAACTGAACGATGGGATGTATTGTATAAATGGCTGCAGTTACAAGATAGTGTTGGAGTAACATAGAATCAAACTAAAATTGAATTAGAAGATGAAAGCAGGAGGGTAATCAAATTGTGAAAAAACAAAAAGTTGATTTGCTATTGTAATATGAATTGATTGGATGATTTTATACTCTGTGTTCTCCTATCCCCCTAACCCCTTTTCCCTATTACCCCTTACTTTTTGTATACCTTACCCTGTCCTTAAATAAATATTCAAAAAAAATGAAAAAGATCAGTCTACATCCCAATCCCAAAGAAGAGCAGTGCCAAAGAATGCTGCAACTACTGTACAATTGCACTCATTTCACACGCTAGCAAGGTTATGCTCAAAATCCTACAAGGTAGGCTTCAGCAGTATGTGGACTGAGAACTCCCAGAAGTACAAGCTGGATTTCGAAGGGGCAGAGTCCAAATTGCTAACATGCGCTGGATTATAGAAAAAGACAGAGTTCCAGAAAAACATCTACGTCTTCAGCATGGCCTCTGAATGCACACAAAAAGGTTAAATCAGCACCTGCGCTGGACCTCTCGGAATCTTCTCGAGCTTTGAATAGAAAAATAACAAGTTAATTTGCCTCTAATGCACATGCTCTGCCCGCCAAAGCCTCAGTTCCATTTTTCCGCTGAGCGATTTGGAACCTCTCACATCGAGCTTGCTATTTTTTTCAATTTTCTGACTGAATTCTACGGTTTTTCGATCTGGTTTCATCCTCAACTATTCTAATATCTATTTCCCCAACATGGACTGTGTTTTGACCACTCATGCTGCTTCGCTCTACTAACTTGGTCACTTCGGATTTTTTCCTATTCTTCCCACCTTTTCACTCCGCTGCGCCAAAGTTCCAAGTAAGGCAAAATTGACTTTCGCTACCTTATGTCCCCCTCAGGTCCATTCAGCTGCTGCATGGTTTGCTCTAGAAAACTTCTTTTCCATGACAGACATGATCATTGTCTTTTTTGTTTAGGAGAGGCTCACCTAACTCAGTCCTGCAAACATTGTAAAAGCTTTACCAAAGCAGTTTTAAAAGCAAGGCAGTAGAGACTTAAATATCACATTTGGGACTCTACTTTATCATCATCCAAACTGTCAGAAATGGAAATCTCATCGCCTTCGGCTACCCCCCGTTCAGATGCCAATGTCTCCCTTCAACCTTCAGTTAGCAAAACTTCAGATAAACCACCTAAGAAATCAATTTCTGTGAAGAAATCTTCATCGATGCCGAAATCCTCTTCAACTACTTCTTCAAAACCTGCAAAACAAGCAAAGACAAAGGCTCCAGTTAAGGCAAAGGAACACCTTAAGCAGTTACCACCAGTTTCGGCTTCTTTACCTTCTCCTATTCTAGAGGACTCATCTAGAGACAGAATCTTTGTCGGAGGCAGCTCCCTCCTTGACAAGCTGAGCCAATTCCTTCTATAGGCGTCTCTTCTCCGACGCCGAGCCAGCTTGCAAGTACCACTGCAGGATTCCTTTCTGCCCGTCATAGCCCTGTGTCAACCAGGCCAGCGTCTTTGGCTCCATCGGTGTCGTCAGTCGCTTTGAGGCCGAGCTCTCCGCCTTGAAAGCATACAGCAAAGTCTAAGCACATGTCTCCAGATCAACGTCAATCCCCTCGCTGTGAGGTGATAGTGCTCCCGAGGTCATCTCGACATCAACATAGGGATCACTTGGATGAGTCCGACCAATATGGGCCAAGACACAAGAAGCATCAACGTTGACACCGAAAGGATTCCTCTTCATCAGACACTTCTTCAGCGTCGACTGATAGATGTAGACGAAAAAGGAAGGTGAAATATATTTACGATTCTTCTTCGTCAGCATCCCCTTGTAGACATCGACGTCAAAAGCATGTTGACGTCGAGAAGAGAAAAGACTTTGCCACGACCTCAAAGAAGTGTCCTGCGTAGTCAGCTCCTGCTCTTTCGGCATCAACGATTGTCCCATCTTCAAAACAGACTGCTTCTTCTCTCCATGACGTCGACAGATATGCTCACAAGAAGCCTCACCACTTTTCTACTTCAGAACAGGAGGATATTTTTTCAGATGACTCTTCTGCTCCTGAAAATAATGTTCCTCAACAACCATGCAAGGATGATTTACCAGAGGGAGAAGTGGTGGAATCAGATATGGCTGACAACCATGCTTCTTCCCCTTCTGAAGATTTTTCTTCTTACACTCAAATGCTTTCTAGACTGGCTAAGACCCTTAAGATGGAGATTGAGCAACCTACTCCACCGACAGAGGACATATTCGGTGACATAAACCAGGAAAGGTCCGCACCACTAAGCCTTACATTTATTCCAGCTCTACTAGATATTATCAAAGACACCTGGAATCAGCCTTCCACATCAACTCCCATGTTCAGATGCATGGAGAATTTGTATCGAGTTCATGGGAGTGACACCAATTTTCTGCTTAAACATCCGATACCTAATTCCTTGATTGTGGAGACGAGCTGCTCCAGACCCACAGGAAAATCACATATGACTCCAACGAATAGGGAAGGCAGAAAATTAGAAGTTCTCAGGAGAAAAATTTACTCGCTTATATCTTTCCTTTTACGGGTAACAAACTACCAGACAGTGTTAGGAGCTTACCAAAGACAACTCTGGCTTTGGATTTTGCCTGGGCTTAAAATGATTCTTGAAGATGTCAGACAGGGCTTCTTAAATACTTATGAAAAAGCCCAAACAGTTTCAAAACATCAAAGACTGTCTACCAGGCATGCTGCTGAAGCTGCATCCAGGGTACTTATGTCAGCTGTCACTCTACGTAGACACGCATGGTTGAGAGCAGCTAATATAATGGAGGATGCTAAAACAAGAGTGGAAAATTTACCCTTTGATGCCAAGGGACTCTTCAATGAGAAAACCGATGGAAACCTGGAAGAGCTTCACAAAATGAAAAAAAAACAAGTGTTATTCCATCCAGCCTCAGGCCAGATACAACATACACCCAGTACTCTCAACCTGCTTAACAGTACAAGCCTTTCAACAACTTACCTCAACACAGATCTTCACAAGCCTCTTCCTCGACTTCCAACTACCGTCCTCAGTCATTTCATCATAGGCAGTCTTACAAGCCTCCTTCCAAAAAATCCAAAAAAAACAAACAAGTGTTATTCCATCCAGCCTCAGGCCAGATACAACATACACCCAGTACTCTCAACCTGCTTAACAGTACAAGCCTTTCAACAACTTACCTCAACACAGATCTTCACAAGCCTCTTCCTCGACTTCCAACTACCGTCCTCAGTCATTTCATCATAGGCAGTCTTACAAGCCTCCTTCCAAAAAATCCAAACAGTACCTTTGACTACGCCATCACACCATTCAGAAAGCATTTCACGACAAGATTACAACCCTACCTTCCAAATTGGACCATTATCACAAAAGACTCCTGGGTCTTAAAAATTATACATTTCAGCTACCAGCTGGAATTTATAGAATATCCTCCTCTAGGACAGGTAAAACATACATCATTTGATCCTGCTCTAGAAGAAAAAGTTCTGTCTGTTCTAAAGAAAAAAGCTATTCAAAAGTTCCCACAAGGGACATCAGAAACAGGTTCTACTCCCGATACTTCACCGTTCCGAAGAAAGGAGGAGGAATCGGACCCATTCTGGACCTAAGAACTCTAAACACTTGCCAAGACGCTTCCGCATGGTGACTCTGGACTCCATAATCCACCTGTTAAAGAAAAACAGCTGGTTTGTGGTGATAGACCTAAAGGATGCATACTTTCACGTGACTGTACATCCCAAACACTGAAGATACCTCCGGTTCATATTTCAGGACAAAATTTACCAGTTTCTGGCCCTCCCATTCGGGCTCTCGACAGCACCAAGGACATTTACCAAGTGCATGGCACCCGTAGCCGCTTACTTACGTCTACAGAAAATTCAGGTCTATCCATATATAGACGATTGGCTTGTGGTCTCTCCATCAAAACATCAGGCTCAGAAAGACACAAGATTCATACTTCACATTCTGAGGAACCTTGCTCTAAATCTTTCCTGATATCATTTGAGAGCATGTGCTGGGACTTTGAGATTAAGGATGGTGAAAGGATGATAGTTTTGAGATCACAAATAAGTGAAGATTTAGATGAGCTTTATTCTCAGATGCCTCTTGAGCAAGCTAGAGAGTTTGAGGCATATAGAAAAATGGTATATTCTAGAGTTGGCATAAATGCAGAACACTTTAGGAGAAAATTTTGTTCCCTTACCAAAAAGCCTGAAGAATCTTATGCCCAAGTGGGGGCTAAATTAATTCAATGTTTGGACAAATGGATGGAACATGAAAATGTCACTTCCCTAGACCAAATGAAAAATGTAGTTGGTTTAGAACAATGTTATTCCATTTTGCCTGGGTAACTGTGTTATTTAATGAAAGGCAAAAATCCTAAAAACATATTACAGACGTCTGAATATGCTGATTCTATTAGTGAAATTAGAGATCCTGTTTTCTGAGGTAAAATTTTACAGGCAGAACTGGGACAACATTAAGAAACCATTCAATAAAAATTACATCAGTAAAATATCAGGGAAAGATGACCAGCTTAGTACCTCACCTAAGTTGCCAGGCCCTAAGTCCGCCGACAGAAATGAACCCTGAGGAAAAGTTCGACAGATCTCCTCAGTATGATTGAAAGACTTACAGTCTTATAATTGTAGCAAGTTTGGCCATGTTCAATCAAATTGTATTGAAAACAATAAAAATAAAAATGGAAAAGACGATAGTCAAACCAAAAAGGATTTCTGTATAAAACCACTGGAAGCCACTGAAGGAGTTTGTAACAATGGTTCTGTCTCCATGGCAACTAGCACAATAGAAAATTCTGATCTGCCACAAGCCAGAGTCATTCAGTGCTTTCCTATAAAGGCAGATATTTTACTACAGAACTCTGGTGAGAAAATTCTTATTAATGAGACATCTTATGTTGGAATTGTAGATACCTGTTCTCACATAACCCTGTCTCACCCTGATGTGGTTCCTAAAGAACAAATACTTCCAAATCAAACTGTTACCATCAAGGGAATAAGTTCTATGCCAGTGATTTTACCTATGGCTAAAGTAAAGATAAACTATAGAAACTAGGTTGGATTTTGGGATGTAGTAATTTCTGATCAAATACCTGCACCTTGTTTGATTGGATTAGATCTCACTAAGCATGTGCAGAGTGCTTTTGTAGTAACACATTCCCAGGGGGAGCAATAAACAATCCCTGAGGGAAAAATGAAATCCCTAACTTCTGAAAGTAATCTGGAAAGCCCCAGTTTAAAAGAAAACTCTGACGTGGATGAAATGGCAGAAGTTATATTTATGAAAAACCCTAATAATTCATCATTTGATAAGGAACAGAAGGAGAATACCACCCTTACACAGTGCTTTGAGAAGGCTAATGGAACTCCCTCTTCATTATTGCCTGAATACCCAGAGAGAGATATAATAGATAACGATCTGTTATATAGGGATGTTTTGTTAGCACCTCAGAGGGATGGATGGAGATGGAAACCTTAAACAACTGATTGTGCCTGGAAAATATAGAGTCAAAATCTTAAGCAAGGCACATAGTGATGCTTTTGGATCTCACATGGGAATATCGTGTACCAAACAAAGGGCTGCAAGGAACTTTTACTAGCCAGCAATGTGTCAGCAAGTTAAGCAGTTTTGTCAGGCTTGTGAGACGTGTCAAGCAAGTGGTACCGTAAATGACAAAAATAAAGCTAAGTTATGCCCATCACCAGTGATCTCGACCTCTTGCCAATGCGTGGGTCTGCAAAAGTCCTTAGAGATAGCAGGACAAAGCTTTGGGGGATGCTCAAGAAAAGAAGAGGGTGTAATGAAAAGGCCCAGGAAGAGCGATCTGTCCTGAGGATATAGTGGGGGTGTTGAGACTCACAGAGGGGAGTGAATTGCAGTTAGCATGGTCAGGACCTGTAGATGTGTCACAACAGTACTGGAAAGCTGAAGGGACTAGTACTGGGAAGGCTCCTCATGCAGCTGCAAAGGCACTTAAAATCTTGCTAGGCAAACCCTTGCCCATAAAACCAGATGATGGAAGTCTCAACACCTCTGAAATAACCCAAGTGTTTGAGATTTCACCTAAAAGAAATTTGTTGGTGAATCTTGAGGTGACCCATTATAGTGTTTCCTCACTTAGTGCAACTAAATTTCCTGTTGGTGAATTTATGGGTGAGAGTGAAAGCCAGAGCAATAAGATTTCAAAGAAGGATGCAGCCATAGATGTTCTGGAGGAGGAAAAGAAACCGCCTACCTTTCCCCAGCTGAGAAAGTGAAGCCATGAGCCAGAAAGAAAGCAGGCTTCAGCCGGAAAAGGTGAGTGGGGGGAATCCAGTGGACGTCAAGAGTGCCAGGTGATTGTTGATCACTGGAAGAGAGTGTGAACTTCAAAACCAGTGTTTGGTGCGCCAAACTCAAATTGGGAATTCCTCAGCTGTGTGGGTGCATTAGCATCGGATGTGGAGGTGAACTGTGCCAAGTGGATAACAATGAGCATCTACGCCCAGTGACTTTTACCAGCAGAAGAATTCAACCTTGTGAGCGACATTTGTCTGCCATTGAGAGGGCATACCTGTCTATTGTATGGACCTGGAAGAAACATAAGCCATACAGATGGAGAAGAAAGTTTACCCTGTACACTGACCACTCACCTTTTAAATGGTTGAGAACTTTGCAAATGAACAGTAGCAAACTGACCAGATGGTCCTTGATTCTCCAAGATTATGACTTTGAAATTAAAAACATCAAAGAATCTTTAAATGTGGTAGCGGATGCTTTGTCCAGAAGACCTAGTGATTAAGTGTAAATGTAAATGTTTATGTTTTTATCCATAATGTGTGATTTAATCTAACGAAAGTGTTTATGAATATATGGTTGTCAGAATGATATAATGAGGTAAGTTTAAATAGTAAATGTATTACTTGATAGAATCCCCTATGGCAAGTATGTATAAGTATTGGTAAGTTGTTATATGTGCATGTAAACCGTTGGGTTTCCCCTCATAGAACAAACTTTTTAAGGGGGGAGGTATGTAGCGATCACCCTGCTTTGGCTCAGGTAGAAGATTATTGGCATGTACCAATGAGAGCTGTTGGGAGGCGGAGCCAGAGAAAAAAATATATTAATTTTTGCTCCAAAAATGCATTAGGGTGTATTTTCAGGGGATGTATTATTTTTTTCACGTACAACAATCTACATTTATTCAAATACAGTTGTGTCATCTTCTGGTTATTATTATTATTATTATTATTATTATTCCAAGTGAGTTAATCACTGTTGACCTCTTTCTTGTAGGGCATGCAGGTGTGTCTGCCAGCATGATGAAGAAGAGAGCTTCCCACAAGTAAGTAGTTTTAGAATCTTTAATCCTATGAGATCAGTAGCCAGAAGTACTAGCTTCATAGAGATTTGCTATTTTGCTGTAGGAATTGTGTGACTATTTTGTTCTTAAAGATCTAGTGAGAGTTAATCACCTGCATCTCTCATAGAGATGTGCCTCCCTTGTTCATTTGTTTTTTATTCTAAATCTGAGAATTCTCCATTCTAAGAGTTCCATGTGCCAGACCTACACTATATTCTAAGATAGGCAGAGCTCTGGCCTAGCTTCCTGTTAGAAAAAGAAATTGCCCCAAACCAGAAGTTGGCCTATTCTATTCCAGATTGCCCTTTTTTCACATGAACACAATTTAGGTGTGAATCAGGCCAGTGGAACTCCCAGAATAGAAAATTCTGCTTTTTGGCATTAAATAAAATGAGCATGCCTAATCCCTAGTATGTATTTAAGCAAATAAAACTACATTTTTGTACATAATAAAAGGAATTAGGGAAAATAAGCATACTTGTAGAACATCTATTGAGTGCTATAAGTAGAGATAATTATTGTCTTCTCTGATCCTATATTTCTGCTTCTACTTGCACATACATTATTTAGAGGCGCTTATTGATGCAAGCACTCCCTGCCACCCCCTAATGTGCACTTGAATGAGCCAGCAAATGTCCAACTGGGCCATGTAAACTGTTGTGCTCTGTGTACTTCCAGCCATGAATTCCAATCTTTCCATTGCCAAAATATGTGGTCTCCTTGGCTTGCAAGTTATGTTGTACTTACAAAAGTTGTAGATTTGGAGAACAGGAAGTTACAGGTATTGTGTGAACCAAATTGAATTTCCATGTAAAACATATAAAAACTCTGCAGTGCTATGGAAACATCTTGCATTGAAGAAGACAAATTAGTAGCATTAAAAGGAAACTGGATGATCACGTTTCAGTACTTCAGTACAAACAGCCTTGCAGTTTACTGACAAAGGCTTATTAGCTAGAAAATAGCTATTTTATATTCGAGCGCACTCGTAATAAGTCTTATCTGTTTCTTCTTCATGGTCCCTATGACTCACACTTTCCCTCTGCATATTTGCATTTCCCAACTCTCCAAACTGAGCTGTTGAGTTTTGGTGGGAGCTGTGACTTGGATCCCAACTTTCACATGTTGGAGCAGTAGGCACTTTTACTCCCCTTCCCCAAAACACACACACACACACACAATTACTGCAGGAAGTTTCTCAACTGTTTGGAAAACTTTTTGAAGGATGCTGGAAGCTGGTACAAGAATATTGCTGGGAGACAGCAGTGTGTGGAGTGGACTAGCAGAAGCAACTGCGTGTTATTTCGGAGCCAAACCAGAGTTAAGAGAAACTCCTTGGTTGCCAGGTGGATAATTAGGAAGCTGAGGGGGTGCTGGTAATTATTGAGCCTTTCCCAGAAAAAAATGAGCTAGGAAGCTGTAACTGCCACACTATTCTACATATACGCCTAGGAAGTCAATGCACTTGTAACATCTGTCCTGCAACTTCTTAATTCCCTGCAAATAAAATTCTTCCGACTGCTGGTGTAACCACTCATTTGCGGCATTAGTTGCCTCCAGAACACTCCCAAATCCCTTTAGATGTTTTTTGAGTTTGTGGAATAAATAATAGTCAGAAGGAGGCAGGTCGGGAGAATAAGGTGGATGGGGCATCACTTGAAAGCCTAAGGATGTCATTTTTGCAATTCTTTCACCTGCAATGTGTGATGAGGCGTTGTCATGCAACAGGATGACGCCTTTGGAGAGCTTTCCTCGACGTTTTTCCTTGATGTTTTGCCTCAACTTCGTCAATAAAGCACAGTCATATTTTGCCTTGATGGTTGAACCCTGTTGGAAGTAGTCCACCAGCAGAACTCCCTTCTTATCCCCAAAAAAAGTCGCCATTTGCTTCTGCATCGACCTTTGCACTCGGAACTCCTTTGGCCTGGGGAAACCACCATGCCTCCATTCCTTAGACTGTTCCTTTGTCTCAGGATCATAACAGTAGATCCATGTCTCATCACCAATTACCAGTTTGCCCAGGAAATCTTGCAAAATGTTCTAAAACAGCCACCAATGACTCCACACGTTTCCTCTTTTGTTCGGTTGTCAAGTTTGGGGATCCACTTTGCTGCCAGCTTTCTCATTTCCAAGTCGTTGTGGATAATGGCAGCAACTCTCTCACGTGATATTTTCAGATATATAGCAATAGTTTTGGCTGATATTTGGCGGTCCTCCATGATCATGTCATGGATGGCTTTCACATTTGCAGGCACAGACAGAAGCAGGCCTTCCATATGCTCTTCCATATTGAACTTTTCTGGAGGTGCTGTCATGTTTACTTTGGATCTGAACATGAAAGATAAGTTAAAATCATAAGTAGTTGACTTTTGCAGCATTGAATACAGACAAATAGGTCAATACACCCTGCAATTTATAGCTTCCTAGCTCAGTTTTTTTCTGGGAAGGGCTCAATACTTATCAGCACGCCCTCGTACATATACAGTCATTCTTAAACAGCTTCAAGTTTCCATAACACAAAGTGGTTGGGATAGATGCATTTCTGAAGTTGACCCAGGGCCTGCAGGGAAGCATGGAGTGGACATGGTAGAGATTAAAATCTGTTCACCTTCTATACCTGGAAATATTTGACATTAAAGAAGTATGTATTGTAATTATCTTAGTGCGCTATGCTGTCCCCAACCTTTTTGGGGCTGCGGACCGGCTGGGGGGAGCGAGCTCCATGCACGGGGGGGGGAATCACATTCACGCAGTGGGCGTGCCGCACGAGCGTGACATACCCCTGTGCAAGCATGACACATCCACTACGCATGTGTGGGGGGTGGAGACCTGTATCTGCGGCCCAGTTCCGGCAAGCCCACAGACCGGCACCGGGCCACGGACCAGGGGTTGATGACTCCTGTGCTATAGTATAGCTCAAGCATTTCCCCAAAAAATAAGTCTAAAATGACCATTAAAGATAATACAAAAGTGTAGTTTGAAGTGCTCTAATCTGTGGAATATACCATGCAATTCCTCACTGAAATTTATGGCCTTATTTATAAATACAGAAAGCATCGAAACAACGTGGGACCAAGCAAACCCATTTCTCAACCCAGAAGAAACATTGTAGGCTGCAGAATACAGCATGGATGGAAGGAAGGAAGTGGACCTGTGACACAGTGGAAAGGCACAGTCCTAGACCAGGTTCCTGTAAATCCCTCTCTCTATCTTATTAAATATGATGGATTTGATTGTGTGTATGGACTAGAACTGCACAAAGATGAGAGAGTTTCAGCACTTGAAGTCCTTCCAGATAGAGTTGGTAAGTGTCTTGATGGGCCTGAATATGTTGATTTCTAAACATTTTCAAAAGCTGAATAAGTGGATGGGTGTGTGTGTTTTTCTGCAAAATTAAACACTTGGAGAGGGGTCCAGCTAATTAAAACTAAAAGAATGCCTTTCAAAATAGCCAAAATCATTTGGAAGCAGTTCTTAAAACTTGCTAACTTAAAAGATGAAAAATAAAGGAGAATCTCAGACATTTTAAAAAAAACTTATTCTAGCAGATTTCAGTGTCACTACAGACATATTATCACTCGTTAAATACCAAGGGCTATCCTTTCCCTAGAATATATAGAGAAATAATCCCCCCCCCAATTGATTGGACACTCTTTTTGGTGGGACATGTTGCAGGGTACCACACAGAAAAGACTATGTTTCTTGATAAGTTAGTGTCTGGCAAAGGTGGGCAACCTTTAGTGATCACAGTAGAGTAATAGGATGAGGAGAGGTGAACACCTAAATCTGGGGAAAGTGTGGACTTCAAGATGTTGTTGGACTATAATTCCATTCTTCCCTAGTCATTGATAATGCTGCTTAGTGCTGCAGAATTATAGTGCAGCAAGTTCTTGAGGTTCATACCTTGCTTTAGGCTAAACTGCACCAATCTCTTTCAGTTATTCTGTTTTGCTTCCCTTCTCAAACTCCTTGAATGATAGCTCAACTCAGACAAGGAGGCAAGGCAGTTAAGCCAGTGCTGCCAGTGAGTGGGCAGTCATGTGGAGGAGGGAAGCATGCTCCTGCTGGTGAATGAGTAAATCACCCAAAGGAGGTGGGAGAGGGAAGCACGCTGTGCCTGTGAAACACCTGTGTGGGAACCACACTGAAGCAGGCGAAGCCACCAAACCAAGGTTTGTGCCCATCTCTAGTCCCCAAATGTTCTTGGACCACAACTCCCAAAAGTCCCACCCAGTACAGCTAGGTCCAAAATCTAAAAAGCCACTTCAGTTGCACCCTCAGACTCGCATGTAACATTTGTTATTTTATTTTAACAGCAGAACAAATGCTGCTTTAGATGCTAGTTAATTTTCTGCCTCAGCATTAACAATTCAGTACTCTGTAGCTAATCTCTTTATTACTGCTGTCTCTTTAAAAAGAGTGTCTTATTCCGTGTCTGATCTGCTGAATCCTTCATTGTATCTAGTAAGATTTGTTTTTCTTTAGCCTCTGACATGCAATTACGTACTGTTGAAATAATTTCAGCAGCTGATTAAAATAGTGGGATTTTGTTCTATATATAACTGTGGGCAGAATAATATACTTCAGCCTGGATAACCTGGATAAGGTTTAAATTTGGTGAAACATTTTCAGTCTGTTTTTCTGGCATCTTAGAAACATAGTTGCTGAGTTTCCCACAAAGTAAGAACCAGGTGTCCATCTTCCTCTTCCAGCTTCGTCTCGAATTAGTGATGCCCACCTGGCAGACACAATGATTGGCAAAGCAGTGGAACATATGTTTGAAACAGAAGATGGCTCAAAAGATGAATGGAGGGGAATGGTCTTGGCTCGAGCACCTATAATGAACACATGGTTTTATATAACATATGAGAAGGATCCTGTCTTGTACATGTACCAGCTCTTAGATGACTATAAAGAAGGTGATCTCCGTATTATGCCTGATTCCAGTAAGTTGATCCTCTGTATATATTCATATAGTTCCATTTATATTATGCCTTTTCTCCAGTGAGCTTAATATGTTGTATTAGGTTATCCCCCTTCCAATTTTATCCTCACAAAAAGCATGCAAGGTAGGTCATACTTGGGGTATATGATTGTTCCAAAGTTACTTAACAGGTTTCATGGTTAAATTGGGATGGGAACCTGGGTCTCCCAATCCCTAGTTCCACACTTTGATCCCTAAATCACATTGGCTATATAATGGAAGAAACTAGTGTATATAATGGAGGAAAAATTAAAAGTTATAGATGCTTGAAATTTGATTGACAGATGAGGTCTAAATCTAATTGGTAGACCTATTGAAGCTGAGGAGATACATTGAATTAATGGCATACAAGGGTTAATTTACTAAATTTTCATTGGTTCAGTGTGCCTCCTCTAGTTGGGCCTAACAACTGGATTATACCATCATAAATCAATCAGATTTCAAGCACCAGAATATTTTAGATGGTTTCCATATTAGACAGTGCAGTAAAGATCCAAAATTACAGTACATTTCGCCTAATTTTTTTTGTAATTTTGTAGCTCTTCCATTACTCAAATTTCTTTGGCCAAAATCAAAAGGCACCAGTTAGTCAGAATTGATGTTGAACTCTCTCTCTCTCTCTCTCTCTCTCTCTCTCTCTCTCTCTCTCTCTCTCTCTCTCTATCTATCTATCTATCTATCTATCTATCTATCTATCTATCTATCTATGCTCCCCATTAGTGCTGGAGCACTACTCTGGGTGATTTATAATAATATACAAACTAAACCAAAATGAAACTAAAACTATTTAAACCAAAATAACAACTAACCAATAGAACAAGATGGCACTAAAACTGTAGAACAGCAAAATGGTGAACAGTAGACCGGGGTCCCTGGTCCATGGCCTGGGCCACGGGGACAGATGTCCCACCCACCCCCGCACAGCCCCTTTTTGCATGTGCGTGAGTTTGCACATGCGAGCACCCCTGCCTCTTCACACATGCATGACTGCCCCCTCCCCTGTGTGTGCATTCCTCCTTCATGCATGTGGTAGGATATACCAGATGGGCGGGATATAAATCGAACAAACAAACAAACAAATAAAAGTGCACGAGCATGGGGGTGCCCAACCTTCCCCAAATGGACCCTGTCCTCCCCCAACCGGTCTGCAGTGACAAAAAAGTTGGGGACCACTGCAGTAGACAGTTAACTAAGGTTGGTGTGGAAAGCTCCCTGAAAAGCCACATCTTCAGTTACCTCCTGAATGTCCACAGGAGGGGGCCAGGTGAAGTCCCTCCAGAAGCTGGTTCTTCAAGGATGGGGCCACCACAAAGGCCCTACTTCTAGTAGATGACTTGCTGACCTCACTCAGGGTGGCCACCCGAAGGAACCTCACCTGTGATGTCAGTCAGGCAGATGACACTGAGGAAAGATGCTCCGACTAGAAACATGGGCCCAAACCATGGAGAGCTTTATATGAGTGTCAAAACCTTGAACCGGATCAGAGACACAACAAGTAACCAACCAGTGGATGCAAGGGACACAACAAGTAACCAACCAGTGGATGCAAGGCAAAACCAGGGTATAAGGTCAAACATGCTCACACCAACCAGTCCTTAAGTTTACTTATCCATATTCTCATGTGTCACTAAGCATTTTCATTCATTCTTTAGCTAACATTTAATATGTTTTCATTCTTATACTATTATGAGGGAGGAAAGTTAGCAGTTTATCATATAACTAGACATTCCAGTAAAACAGAATCAAGCATTCTATTTGAATACATGACATTTAGGTTAGTATTCTATCTACTGCCATAATGCTAAACAGCAATTCCAATTTCTAGGCAAAATAGTTCCAAGTGTAATGGAATGATCTGTATTGCTGTATTTAAAATGACTGTAACCTTGGAAACAAAACACATTATACTGAAAGCTGGACTAGATTCAGTTGAAGAAAGAGTGAAAATTGGTGAGAGAAACATCAGTAATTTAAGATATGCAGATAACACCATCATACTGGCAGAAAACAGCAATGACTTGAAATGATTTTAGGAAAATCAAAAGGTGATAAAATAGGACTGTAGTTAAATCTCAAGAAGACAGAAATCATGACTACAGAAGAGCTATACAACTTTGATTTTGACAATGAAGAAATTGAAATAGAGTTTTTTGTGTACTTTGGTTCAGTCATCAATCTAAAGGGAAACTAGAGCCAATAAATCATAAGACAGACTAGGAAGGGCAGGAAAAGAAACACTCAGTGTTAAGAGTGTCACTGGAGACCAAGATCATCGACACTCATGTACGTCCAATAACCATTTGTGGGTATGAAAGCTGGACAGTGAAGAAATCTGACAGGGAAAAAATTGATTTATTTGAAATGTGGTTCTGGAATATCCTGGACTGTCAGAAAGATGAAAATGGGTCCTAGAGCAAATCAAGCCTGAACAGTCTCTGGAGACAGAAATGTTGAAACTGAAGACTATCCAGCTTTGGGCACATCATGAGAAGGCAGGATTATCTTGACAAGACAATAATGTTGGCAAAGGCAGAAGGTAGCTAGGACATTGTTGGCTTCTATATCCACAGCTAGAGAATATCTATTATATACATGCATTTTTTGTCAGAAATACATGTTACAGGCAGTACCTGAAATATTCAAAATATTCAAGTAAAGGAACCACACCTTTTGAACACAGCTTTGTAGATTTAGTACACTCATATTCTCTCCAGTGTTAAAACATGTTTCTTCCCTGTAAATGAAATGCAGTGTTCAGGGTTTTGCTTTCATTAATTTTGTCCTGTCTAAATTAATCTTGGGAAGGGGCAGTATTCTTTTGTACTGTTTTGCTCACCAGTCATCGATAAAATTCATAAATAATTGTGTCGTTTGCCCCTCGTGGCCCGTTTGTCTCCCCAAAACAGAGAGCTCAGAAAGGCAAAAAAACACAAACAAAAAACCACCTTTTCACTCGCTGCCACCAGTTGATTACTAAATCAACCTACTTTGCTTAGGAAAGACGAAGGTCCATTCATCACTGTCTTTTGAATAAAACAGGTTTATTGATTACAGATGTTTCTGTAATCGTAAGTATCTTCTTCAGGTTCATTAAGCATCAGTAACAATCTTCTACATTATCTTACAGGTTACTATTCTTTCCTCAGACTAATCACAGATTCCCAAACTAACTCTACTTCTCCCTTCAAACTCTGATCCAGACTGTCAACTCTACCCCTTCTCCTCTCAGGCTCCGCCTTTTAACATCTCTAGTGGCCCCACCTCTCAACCATATCAGCATAAAACATGAATAATGCATGACTTTTTTAACATAATAAGGGTGAACGCCACAATAATATACTTGCAAGTAGACTTGCCTATGTTGTTGGGATTGGTAATTGGCATGAAAGGCTAATTACTTTTTTATTGGAGTTGCAACTTCAAGCTAAATGGGAGATAGTTCCATTATTATGATTATCATTTTGCCACTGTTAAATGCTTCTATTATCCTGTACTTCAGAGATGTTAAGTAAGTATACATATTTTAGTAAGTTCATGAAAAAGTGGGACTGCACTAGCTATTCCTTTTTTAAAAAATAGGCACGTCACAGTTATTTCAGAATATATAGTGATCACTCTTCCTTGATCATATAAAAAACTGGATAAAATAAAGTCTTAAGTGCCCTCAAGACTGCACCTTGAACATTTGGTGTAACGTACTCCATTTGGTAATTCAGTTCCATGAATGTTCCATTTCTGTTACTCATTTCAGACTTTTCTGGTTGATTTAAGATGGCCAAGGCTCAGGTGAAATATGCATGTACTATTGATTTTCTGGTGTTTCTTTATGAAATAACACCAACTGTGTTTAGCACATAATATTTTCTGTCAAATAAACACTGTATCCATGGAGTTACTCAGTACAAGTTATGGATATGAAATTATTGGTTTAAAAAAAAGCACTGAACTCCAGTAGTCATGCATATTTTTATGGTAACGAAAAATTTAAAAAGCAAAAGAAACATATCCATGTCCCCGTTTTCCAACTAAGACTGGCTTTTATCCCAGGTTAAACATGCAGTTTGTTACACTGTTTATTGAGCATTGGTGATATATATCAAAATACTGACTGTCCTTTGCAGCTGTGAATGAATAAACCTGTTGAAAGTACATATTGAAGCACTTGGGACAGCTAACCCAAAGCTCTACAAATTCAATCTGAGAGCAGCAAATACTTTTACCTGGCTTCCCATTTTTCTTTTCTGGATGTTTAGCATCTGATGAATCTCCAAGCTGTGATCACTCATGAATTCTGTTCTTATTGAAACTGTGCCTCTGTCTCTAAGGTTTTTCACATAGTTCACTGAGGTAGAGATACAGTGCTTTAAAACCCTGCTTCTCTCAAACAAGAAAATGCAGTATGCAGCCACAGTGGTTTCCTTGTGGAAAATTACCGTATTTTTCTGTGTATAAGACATCCCATGTATTAGAAGCCCCCCAGTTTTCTAACCCAAAATTAAGAAATCTAATCTTAGCGAGTGTAGGGGGAAAGGGATCAAAGCACTGCAGGCTTGCTTTGATCCCTGCTTTCTCCCTTCGTGCTAAGCCCTGTGGGGTTTAGCAAAAGGAGGGGGAAAGAGATCAAAGCAATCCCACAACCGCATGATCATTTTGATCCCTTTCCCCCTTATACAGCCATGGGATTGCTTTGATCCTTTCCCCTTACACTTGCTAAGCCCCATGGGACTTAGTAAACAGAGGGGAAAGCAAGGATCAAAGCCATCCTGCAGTGCTTTGATCCCTGCTTTCCTTTTGCTAAGGCTTAGCAAGTGGAGGAGAAAGCAGGGATCAAAGCCCTGCAGGAGCACTTTAATCCCTGCTTTCCCCTCCACTTGTTTTTTTCTCTCCTCAGCTTACTTCCGTGTATAAGATGACACTCAATTTTAGTCTAAAGATTTTAGACAAAAGTATAGTTTTATACATGGAAAAATACAGCAAACCATTTTTGCCAGAAGCATTTTGCCATGCAAATCCAGTAAGCAAGGGTTTACTGATCAACTCCATGGCAGCCATTTGAAAACTTGTTGTATAACATTCTCTTGTATCTTAAATCCTCCTTTCTGTTCTCAGATGATTCACCTCCAGCAGAGCGGGAACCTGGCGAAGTTGTGGACAGCCTAGTGGGGAAACAAGTGGAATATGCCAAAGAAGATGGCTCAAAAAGGACTGGCATGGTCATTCATCAAGTGGAAGCCAAACCCTCCGTCTGTTTCATCAAGTTTGATGATGATTTCCATATTTATGTCTATGATTTGGTTAAGACATCCTAGACACCACCATGCGAACTTTTGCCAAACTTGTGGAACTTCATGTAAAATTTGTAGACTCAAAGACTTTACTGCTTTCCAGTTTATTTGAAAGCTTAAATGTCCCTGCGAGCCCACAATCTCTGCCAGGAAAACGATTCCATTGTGAACTATACAAATAGACTTTTATGTGAACATGACACATTTTGTGTAGGGGAACTCCTTTTCTTGAAGGAAGTCTTCTATGTTGGGGCGGTATGTGGATGAATTTAGAGAAAACAGCAGCTGCAAATTCAAGCTGTATAAATGGATCTAGCAATGTCATCATTAATTGATTTTTTCCCCAATTATAACTTTCCCTCAGCTTCTCACTTAACTGTTCAACTGCCACATACAAGTTTAGCTTGGTATTATATTGCTTTCATGTATGTAACATTAAGTTTTCTTGTCTGGCAGTCCTTGTTCCAGGGTTTGGGCAGAAATGATTATGAAATGTTTTAAGCAGTGTTAAGGACTGCCTAACCCAATTAACATCAGTGTACTGTGTTCAGATTAGTTGTGAAGCTACTATTATGTGAGTATTTTTTATATTTTAATTGCAGGAAAATCGAACATAACATACAGGTAACATAGTTGATGAGAAAAAAAACAGATTAAGACCCATATTTGCACCTACATGACCTGGCCAGGGAATGAAAAACAAGGATGCCTTCAGTTCTCAATGTCCTATGGATTTTTGTTTCTTTTAGCAGACCCCTTGTTCTCGGTGCCATAGCAGTCTAGTCATTCATGTTAACATCAAAAGAATACGGCACAGCAACTACTGGATGTCTCAGTACCAAAACTGGCAACCTAAATATTTGTGCATGGACAGAACTGTTACATGTAAAGAGAAACCTCATGAAAGAACAGTACTGAGACATTAAAAGCTTGCATTTGCAGAGGAGGAAAATCATTGGTTGCCTTCTGTTTTGATCTGCTGCAGTCCTTCTCCTTTTATTATGTTTGGTCAAAGAAGGCATTTATTTTCCCCAACCTTTCTCCTTGGGAGTACATTGAGACAAGACACAACTCAGAACTTGTTGTCGCCTTTCGTGTTGTACATTGTATTTGCTTGAGGTATACGGTTTAATGTGAACGTCATTAAAAGAACACTAGGGTTCTGCATGCGAAACGTGTACTATCTAACGAACGCTAGGCAGTCTCCATGGTTCAGTCATATGCAGCAGATTGTGGATGTAAATAAGCAGCCCGTAGCCACAAAATTCACTCTTGTTTTTATTTCTTTTCTATTTTTTTAAAAGAGGTTGTAGTTTGGTGTGTGGCAGCTTTTTAAAGTAATCTGTGGAAAACTATTAGAACAGCAGCAAAGCTGAGAAAGGGCACTGCAGTTATTAAAGGACTGCTTTGCTTACATACATAAGAGCCAAACACCAATGTTTATACATAACTTAGAGCATTTTTTTAAAAAGCATTGCTGATGAGCTTTCTGAAGACCAGATTACCTCTGGTATTTAGTATACATATTAAACTCCATGTGGTTTAAACCCTTCTTTTTGCCTGAATTCATATTGCAGCCTTAAGGCTTGTGCCTCATTATGCTCTTTAATAGTAATAAATGCTTACCATACAAATGCAGTATCTTAAAATCTGTCGTCCATTGCTACTGTTGCATTACGTCCAGTACTTCATCACAGGCAACCAAAGGCAGGCTATTGTGTTTTCCACAAGGAGCTTCTCCAATGCAGTCCTTAAAGCCCTAAGTACCTGAGTCATAAATGTTCCTGTGTTCTTGAACAAAGTGAGCAGATTTGCAACCCAGTGTTTCTCATCCTGCAGATCTGTATGTTTTCTATTGACTCTTTAGAGTCCTGCATGTAAATCTCAAAGCTGAGCCTGGCTCCATGAGCCCGAGTTGGTATTTGTGGCACAAGAATGAATGAGTGTATTTGAACATACACAAGATACACACATTAAACATAGTACTCTGAAAACTGTGGGTTACATAAGTGAATCTAAGGTATGTCTCAAGATATTTGCTGAGGATTAAGTAGACTGAAAATGTTGCAGTCAAAGAGCTTGCAATGGGGGGAGGGGTGTTCTGCGAGTCTCTTGATACACCACATTCTGCCAGTTTAGAGTATTCTATATTCTGTATAAATTTTATGGTTTTTTAAGTGTCCACATTGTCTGCTTTTTTGATAGCGTAGGCCACTTTTTGCTTTTGTTTTTGGAGGCTTGAGACTAATTCTACTCCCTGCCCATCTGCTTTTGGGCTTTCTTTTAGGCTCATGTTTCAGATCTGCATGCAGTGCTTGTTACCCTAGTAACTAAATGTTGGTTCCTTGTTCTGGGGGTTCAACATGGCTTTCCAAGTTATGGGGCTTGTGGTGGCACAAGCTATGGATCTGTGTATAAAAGTTACTGGCCTTTCTCCATTTACCTGATGTAGTATTGTATATTGTGTGTTTTGCGTGATGTCAGGCTGCCCTGTACAATTTTAAACAAACTTAAATGCAGACCATCCCTTTTTTGCATGCTTAGAAGGTAGAATGTTCAGTGTAACAAACAAAAGTTGCATGTTAAAAAAAATGTTTAGGTTCTTAGTTTTTTTTATTTTGTGTTTTTTGTGAATTTGCTTATTGTGCTGTTTTAATGGTGGTTAGTAGGATTAAATGCACTGGTGAGGCAAACATAGTGCCAACAGGAGGTAACTTTCCAGTTGTATGTGTCATGCAGCGTTTGAAGGGACCATGTACTCTGCTCAAAGTGAAATAAAATCATTTGAATTCAATGCTATGCTTTTTTTTGTGCCAAATCCGAAATTAAGCGGAAGTAGAATCCTATTAAAACCCCAAACGATAATGGAAAAAGCCTTTTTTCACTGGATACACTGTAAACCTCCTTAAACTAGTAGGTTTTTAATATATATAAAGGCTTCTCTACAGAAACACTAATTGCAACCATTTCAGAGAACCTAACAGTAGTAAAGTTTCAAGTTTGTGGTTCCTTGAAAATGCTGTGCTTTTTGTAATTTACATCATTAGTGCAATTTGGATGGTTCTTGGTATGTGTATAGTTCAAAGGTCTTCGTGCTCACATTTTAAAATTAGGTAAATGAATTCATCTCTAGAGCTTGGTTTTCATTACTTTTTATTTTTAACAATGTAGACAGTTCCCTGTTCTCTGCATTTAGAAGTATAAACACTTTAAAATCTGTTAATTCTGTAAGTAATTTTTATAATTATGATGTAACTCTATCCTTAAAACATTTAAAATAAACCCTTTATGTGCAACTTATGACTGTAAATCTTGTTCTCATAAGACAAATGCAGTGATGTGTTGAAAAACAAACTGGAATTTATTCCATTTTATAATCAAAATTTTAACAGCATTTATGCTGATATACATACCGTATTTGCCAGTGTATAAGATGACCCCAACATTTCCACTCAAAATATAGTTTGTTATATACTCGCCGTATAAGACTACCCCCTCCCTCTGCCTTTTACCCCCTCCCCCCATAGCGAGGCATGCTGCGGATTGGGGCTCAAGCGACGGTAGGGCTTATCTGAGGTGGGGGAAAGGTCTTAAAGGACATGGATAGGTGGCGGCGGGGCAGACCGACACGGCGAGCCCGCTTTTCATAAGATCCTCCACCCTCAGTCACAGTAGCCGGAGATTCACCCGACGAGGGCTTGGAAGCTGGGAGGGGCGGACACTGCGGCGGCGGGGCAGACCGGCTGGGGCAACTGCACCTGAGCAACCCCAGGAGGCTTGCGTTGGTTGGAAGGAGGGGTATAGGAATGAAGCCTTGCCCCAGGACACCTGAAGCTGACGTTAACATGCCCAACTGGACAAACAGGCGAGAAGAAAGTTGAGGGGGGAAGAACAGCTTTGCGAACTCTTCCGATTACCCCACAAACGCCATGACAGTGCTTGGTTGTCGCAAACTGTTCCGGGTAATGTAATTCTCGGCGTTCAGCTTCGCTGAGGCCTTCTGGGTAACGTAGTCAGCCAAAGAAAAAGGATGAAGGAAGTAAGGAGCACACCTGGAGTATAAGATGACCCCCCCCACTTGGAGGCATGTTTTTCAGGGCAAAAAAGTCTTATATGCTGGCAAATACGGTATATGCTGCCTAAGCAAATATGCTTATTAAGCAATACATTTTGCCAAAATGGTAGTTTAAAACAGTGGTTCTTAACTTTGGGTTACTCAAGTGTTTTTGGACTGCAACTCCCAGAAGCCTTCAGCACCAGCTGTGCTGGCTGGGGTTTATGGGAGTTGCAGTTCAAAAACACCCGAGTAACCCAAGGTTAAGAACCACTGGTTTAAAATGTCCATTTAAACTGGACAGAATTGCTTGGCAATGCAACAATATTTTACTTTAAACTCTAAAAAACAAAGTGCAGATAGAACTGTTGGAATGTGTTATGGTTACCATTCAAATTGTAAATATGTGAAACTGCCTGAAAAACATGTTTGTATTCTATCGTATGTTACACACACGGATTTAAGCCCACTATTGCACTACTGAATGTCTAGTGTTACAACAAAGTGATCTCCTTCCACATCCCTTTGCCACATCCAAAGGTTAATCCAGTCAGCTTTGAGAATGCACAGGGGGCTTGTAAAGGGGAGGAGAACCCCCATACACACACACAATTCTTGTGACAGAAGCAGTTCTGTTAATCGTCTTAGAAAATGTGTTGTTTGCCCACAGCAACTCTGATCATGAGCAAAGCAGTTATGAGAACTGAATACTAACAAACAGGATAAATTGTCGCCTATTAACTGCCTTTTCAGTAATGTATCAAGATTTTATTTGAACCTCTTATGTTTTAAAGCTAAGACTTCTTCACTACAGTATCAATGAAAGAAGAAATATTAGATGAAGCTTGAAAAGCTAGTTGTTCTTTGTAGTGGTCTCTGTGAATGCACACAAATGAGTTATCCTGCGCCTGCGCAGGAATGTCCGGAAGATTCTAGAGCTTAAGAAAAAAGTCAATTAACTCCCCCCGTGGGATATATAAGCCCCACCTCCTCCATCTTCCTTTCAGTTCCTCTTTTTCCGCCGTTCCTGTAGGACGGAGGAAGAGCAGAGCTATCGACCGTTAAGTACTTACTGTATTTGCCGGCGTACAAGGCGACTGGCCATATAAGACAACCCCCCAACATTTCCACTCAAAATATAGAGTGGACGGCTCTGCTGCGGCACCAGCGCTGGCTGCCTGGGGCTCTGCCCGGGCCCGCCCTGGAAGTTCATAGACAGCGGGGAGGAGGGCGAGGAACAGGGGAAGAGGCTGCACAGGCAGCAGGAGGTGGAGGAGGAGGAAGAGGGGAAGCAGGCAGGTGGCGGGCGAGTACACACGCAGCTAGCTCAGCAGCGAGAGGGTGAGGAAGAGGTGAAGAGGCTGCGCGGGCAGCAGGAGGAGGAAGAGGGGAAGCGGGCGGGTGGCAAGCGAGCGCGCACAGCTGGCTCAGCAGCGAGGGTGGCGAAGAGGGTGAGAGGCTGCGTAGGCAGCGGCAGGAGGAGGAGGAAGAGGTGAAGCGGGCGGGGTGGGCAAGCGAGCACGCCGCTGGCTCAGCAGCGGTGGGCTCTGGCCACTCAGGCATTGCCATCTCTGCTTCCCTCCCTCCATCCGGACCGACTGCCTGCCCGCCTGCCCGCCTGCCTTCCTCCCTGGCCAGCGCGGCCCCGCGTCACTTATTCAACGGCAGCGGTGGCGGCTCCTTCCTGGCACAAATGAAGTGCACCCGCTGTACAAGACGACCCCCCCCCGGAGGCATGTTTTTTGGGCCAAAAAAGTCATCTTGTACACAGTAACTAGCTAGCTACCTTTTCCTCTTGTTTTATTATTTACTTTATCTTACTTTAACGGTTATTCGACAGAACTTGCTGATTTTAAGTTACTACTTTGTCTCTGTCGCATTCGCCCCCCCCCGATCAACGATTTCCGCTTTTTCTTTTTTGCTTATGGCCCTTCGGGGCCTCAAGCAGTGTGTTGTCTGCTCCCAAAAATCCCTTTATCAGATGGACACAATAAATGCTTGTTTTGTCTTGGAGAATCTAATCAAGATCAGTCTTGCTCTGCTTGCAAGGGTTTTTCAAAGCAAGCAATTAAGCTGAGGTGCCAAAGACTTCGAGCTTTCCTTTACGAAAAGACTCTGTCTCCAAACATGGAAAGCGCCTCCCTCACAACACTGTCCCCTCCGCGTGCTGAGGCTTCTAAGCAGGACTCTTCAGCAAACCAACCGCGGCTTACTGTCTCTGCCGGTTAAGGCTAAGGATGTTTCCAAACCACCAAAAGCCAAACCGCCTTCGCGACCTGCAAAAAAGAAGGCTACCGATAAGCCTAAGAGAGCGAAGAAACCGGCTAAGTTGCCTGTTGTACCTCCTCCCGCTCCTTCTATATTGCTCGAGGAGTCTTCGAGGGAAGCAATTGGACTCTCTGATACAGAGAAGCACATTCCTTTAGCCCAGGAACATATGTGCATGCTACCAAACTCAGGCCGATTTGAGGCTGAACCAGACGCCAGCCAGGCCGTTGCCCATTCAAGCCCTAGATACTCAGGGCGGGCTGATACCGAGTATCCATCTGAACAGGAGTCTGATCATGAAACTCCTAGGAAGCGTACCGTAAAGCGTAAAAATATCGCTCCATACCAGCCTCAGGATGGAGGTGATGGGTACCATCTGCAAGGACTACCACAGTTTGGCCACTCTTTATATGCTCCGTTCCAACCGTGTTCGTACCCAGGTGTAAGAAAGTCCTCCGGCGGGGGAGCGCTGGTGGTGAAGGCGGGAAAAAGACAAGGAGGCTACTCATGATTTTCATTAACATTATTTTTATTACAAACAGTTCGCAACTCGCGTGAATCAAAAGGATCTTGCAACAGGTGATCCGGTAACAGATTATATCTCTTAGGACGAACACTAGGTGGAACATCTGGATCCCCTAATAGGGAGCCGGCCCAAACTTCTCGCGGTCCGTCATCTGCCTTATGGGCGCGCTCCTCACCGCGCACACTGTGCCGCAGCACGGGTGGCGGGCCCAATCGCCCTCCACAGGCTTCTTCTGAAACTCCGGGCCAGGACGAATCACCCGCCGCCCGCCTCCAGGGTAATTCAGGGGGAAAACCGATACCTTCCATTCTAGAGGCTCAATACATCTGCATCTAGCCCCTGTAGTTAATGGATCTGGGAGCAGTCCACCTCCTGTCATTAGGTTGGGGAATCCTGGAGTCGCATCAGTCCCTTGGGTCTGGCCGAGAATGGGTTCTGTTTGCACCCCTCTATGCCTGGGTCTGTCTGGGTTGAGATCAGTCCGAGTTCTGAAGTCGTGCGCGCTTTCCCCCTCTTTTATCTCCTCCCACATAATTAAATCTAACTCCTCCCCTCCTTCTTCCACAAGACACACCTCCACAGCTTTTTCAGTCACTATCTCAGTTTGATCCAACTCTATTAACACCCCTTCAACACATCCTCCTTCCTCTACATCTTCTTTCCCACCAGAGGACGGCACACTGCCTTCAGCTCCTTCACACAATTATACCTGAGAATAAGAAGTAAGTCTGTCATATGACAGTATATTATAACAAATCTTTAGAGAAACATCTGGTCATTGTAGCTAGTCATTTCCCTCCAAATTTTTCTTTTCAAGATTGACCCATCAAGCTGAGCATTCTTCAAAATATTAAATGAAGAGGAGAAAAAAATCAAAAGTTACTCAGATAATTCTCAAATCCTATAACAGGAGCAAGAAAGTTTTGAAACTGGCTAAAATATTAAT